CCACCCCTTTAGTGCCGCAGGTTGGGAAACTCTCTGCTGGGGGCAGGCAGTCCTGTGCACTGGGGATGTTTAGTAACATCTCTGGCCTCTGCCCACGAGATACAAGCAGTATCTCCCTCACTCCAGATGTCACAGCCCAGACATTGCCAAACATCCCTGGGGAGGCAGGGGGCAAAACCGCCCCCAGCAAGAAACACTGAGGTGATGAGGAGCCTTTGAGGACCCAGGGGTGGGAGAGTGACATATTAGAAGGGCACGACAGACATATGGATGGTTCTACAGCAGCGCAGCCTGGAGTGCAGCGGCCACGGAGGGACGGGGGAGTGGGGAGAGGGGGAGACTTCTCTACCAGCCCCAGGGGAGGAGAGTGTGGGTCTGGCCTGGGACAGGCTGAAAGGGCCGGGGCATCGGTAGGTAGAGACCAGGAAGCAGGGTTAGGAGGGGCCAGGCACAGAAACTGATTGCATGGGGAAGCTGATGCAGGGTGAGTAGTTAAAGCCACATCTAGGCCTGGGGGCCGCAGGGCTGGGAGCCGTCCGGGGAGGGGTACGTGGGCCTTTGTGGGCCACACAGTTCTGCCGATTCACTCACACTTGCTCACCTACTGACACACGTGTCCATCCACACCCTCTCCTGTCCGTCTCCCTCCCCCCCCCCACCATACCTGTGTACTTCCTCTCAGCTCACCTGCTCTCGGGCACCCAGCAGAGATGGCACCCACCACCCCTCGGGGAGCCTGCCAGCTGACTCCCTGGGGCTAACTCCCTCGGACATTTTGGGGGCACTCCTTAGTTCCTTTGCTGCTCCTTGAAGGCTAGGACGAGATTGTGATAGTTACGATGACCATTTGTGGAGCATTTCTTGAGTTCTAGGCATGGTCTCGCGTTCTGTGATTTCATCCTCATGAGAAGCATCATATTGAGAAGGGGGAGGGCCCAAGACGGGGAATATTTGCACCAGCTTCTGTGCACCACCCACCACCCCCCAAACCCTGCAGGAGAGCCTTGTGGCCGGAGCCAGCACCTGCTTGTCCACAGCCTGGCCCCCAACACTGCCTGGCTCACCGCAGATGCACAGAACGAGTTTGCACAATCAGTGAAAGGATGCAGGCCACCCATCGCTGGTGGCAGGGCCAGGGCGGGAGCCCAGGTCTGTCCGACCCCAGTTTGGGCCCATGGTCTTCTATTTGCCTTCATGTTCTTGCAAATAATAGACATGACATCTGAATGGGTGAATACCTAAAAGCGTGAGTTCGTGTGCAAGGTCAGTGGTGGCCTCCGCAAGTGCAATCACCTGCCCAAGGATAAGATAACCAGGTTTCCAGACTCAGGGTACAGTTTTCCCCACAAGTGCAGCATCTCCCACTGTCGTATGCACTGCTCCCAGCGAGCACAGCCATCTGCCTCTGATTCTGTGGGCTCCTCTGACACCCAGGCATACAAAATTTTCCAAGCCCACATTTTATGAGCCTCTCTGAGCCTTTTTTTCTTTCCCTTTAGGCACAGAAAGCCAATATTATTTTGCCAGGAAAGCAAAGACAATTTCTGGAAGACTCAAGCTTGCTCTAAAGAAAACCTGTAATTTAGGCAGAACCTCTTGTTCGAAGGGTCTCAGCCTTGGCTGCCCAGTAGAATCGCCTGGGGAATTGAAAAGACGCTGGTGCTCTGCACGGGTTCTGAGTTCATTGGTTGAGAGTGGGGCCCAGACATCCGTAATTGTTAAAAAGATCTCCGCGTAATTCAAATGAGCAGGTTCAGAAGCTGATAGGCCTCCAAGTTATATTCTCCATGCCTCGTATTTCTCTTTTGGGGGGAGTGGGTAAGGGAGGAAGAGGAGGGAAGGGAGGAGGGTTGGTGGGGGGAGAGACTGATACAGATAGGCAGGGAGACGATTGACTACCCCCCAGTTTATCCACTGTAGGTGTGCAAACTTTTGCCATTAGTGATGTCCATCTTTTGAGTTAAAGCCCTCCTCTAGGAAAGGACAATATATATTAAAGTCCTTTAGCCTTTAACAGTAGTGTACATTTATCAATCAGCTGCTCTCTGAACAGAGCTCTGGCTGAGAGCAAAGTGCTATAGGATGAGACACAGGGAAGTTAAGTTTCTTCGTTGGGGGGAGTGGATGGTCGCCCTGGACCGTGTTAGGAACCTGGACAGAAGACTGAGGACCTCTCCAGGTTGGGGAAGAAGCTGCTGAGAGAAGTGAGGGCATGAGAAGCTGAACCTCTGTGCTCCCTGGTTCCTCATGAGCGGGCCCTGGGGTCTCATTTTTTAGAAAATGGATTATTGGATTTAGCAAGAAAGGGTGTGAGCAGGTGTTTCTGATCCAACACTCTGCTCTGAGCTAACAGGCCTGGGTGTCAGGCCTGGGCTTATAACTGGGGACCCAGAAATGGCTCATTCACCTCCTCACCCTGAGAGAGCCTCACATGCAGCCAGCCCTCACGTGGTAGGAGCAGGGATGGCTTGGGAAATGAGACAAGAGCCACAGGAACTGGAAGGGTTGAAAGATCCATGCCAAGAGTAATCATGGAGGCCTCCCAGAGGAGGTGACATTGGAGCAGGGCCTTGAATGGTGTTTGTAGTTTTCTGGCATCTGAGTGTAGGGTGCAGTGGAGGATGGGCAGGGACCAGTTCTGGGTGCCCTTGAAGTTCTCTCAGTTCCCAACACTTGTCACACTGTATTGTGACTATCCTTTTAATGCTGTGTCTGGTGCTAGAATATAAGCCCCCCATGCAAGGCACTGTGTGCAAGAGTCCCCAGTGTGTAGCTGAATCCCTGGATGAGCCTGCTCCCAGTGGGCCCTCCCTGACGGATGAATGACCTGGGTGCAGGGGGGGCACCTTACCAAGCTGTCCTCTCTTCTGCGGAAACAGTTCGGCTTTCTTTGTCTTGCAAGGATGCTGAATTGTGAGAGGGTCCTCCTGCCCCAGGGATCTGGTCTACTATCTTAGCAGTTGGTCTTAATCGACCTTTGGTTAAATTCTAAGGTCTTTGATTAGATTAGTAGCAGCTGGTCATTTTATGTGCAATTCTATTTAGTCCTTCACTGTAGATTGTAGGAGAGACCCCAGTAGTCTTAAACCTCATTTTTATTCTATTTGTTTGTCTTCCTTACTTTAAAATACCCCACTTTTTTTAAAAAGATTTTATTTATTTATTCATGAGAGACACAGAGAGAGAGGCAGAGATATAGGCAGAGGCAGAAACAGGCTCCCTGCAGGGAGCCCGATGTGGGACTCCATCTCAGGACCCCGGGATCACACCCTGAGCCAAAGGCAGATGCTGATGCTCAGCAGCTGAGCCGCCCAGGTGCCCGTAAAATACCCCACTTTTTATTGAAGGATACCATATTAGAAAGAAGTGCATATCCCTAAGGGAAACTTCAGGAATGTCACAAACTGAATGCAGCCATGTTACCAGCACCCAGATCAAGAAACATAACCAGTAATCCAGAAGTCCCTATGGTATCCCCTCCTATTCAGCAACCCCGTCCCCACCTAGGATGTACCTGCACTTCCTGACTTCTAACTCCTTAGATTAGTTTTGCCTTTTGTAGTTTAAATGAGTGGAATTAGACAGAATTAGACTTTGGGTTTGGTTTTGACTTCTTTCTCAAAGTATTTTGTGTGAGATGTCTATTCATAGAGAACTAGTTGCTTTATGATATTCCATTTTATGAATATATCATAATTTATCCATGCTACTGTAATAGATATTAGAGTAACTTTCAGTTTGAGGCTATTGTTGTTAATGCTACTTTGAACATTCTAGAACATGTGTCTTGATGAACATATGTACACATTTCTATGGAGTAAATACCCAGGAATGGAATTGCTAGGACACAGGTTATGCATACTTTTAGCTTTAGTCGATATTACCAAATAGAAGAAACATTTATTCTCATCTTAGTCCCTAGACAGGGATCTATAAACTCAGCAACATGAAAGTTTGGGATTAGATAATTCCTTTTTGTTGTTGTTAAAGATTTTATTTCTTTGGAGCACGTGGGTGGCTCAGTCAGTTAGGTATCTGCCTTCGGCCCAGGTCATGATGCCAGGTTCCTGGGATGGAGCCCTGCATTGGGCTCCCTGCTCAGCAGGGAGTCTGCTTCTCCCTCTCCCTCGATGCTCCTCCCTGCTCTCTCTCTCACTCTCAACTTGAGATTGAGAGAGAGCATGGGAGAGAGCACAAGCAGGGGGAGAAGCAGGAGCCGGGGGAGGGGAAGAAGCAGACTCATCACTGAGCAGAGAGTCAGAAGGGAGGGCTGACCCTGGGACCATGACCTGAGCCAAAGGCAGACACAAAGGCAGAGACAGAGAGGCAGGCTCCTCATACGGAGCCTGATGTGGCCTCTGATCCCAGGACCCCAAGATCATGACCTGAGCTGGAGGCAGATGCTCAACCACTGAGCCACCCAGGTTCCCCAGGACTGGATAATTCTTAATTGCTAGAGGCAGTCCTGTGCACTGCAGGATGTTAAGGCCATCCTGTGCATTGTAGGATGTCCCCAGTCACAATCTTCTAGCACGGCCTCCTCCCTAATTCATGACCATCAAAGGTGTCTCCACACCTTGCTAAATGTCCCAGTGTCCCCCTGGGGGCGGGGACGTCAAAACTGCCCCATCACTCCTGTTGAGAACCGCTGTGCTGCCGTGAGTGCTCTCAGGGCCAGGACTTTTCCTGTTATTTACCACCATCTCCCCAGGACCAGGCATGCAGGTAGCACTCAAGAGATTTTTGTTACATTGAAAATTTTTGTTAAAAAACAGATGTGAGCGGGAACACTTGCCAGATAGATGATTTGCAGGCCTAGGCCAGGCCAGTCCCTGGCACAGGCTATGACTATGCGGAACAGGCCCAAATCGTGCAGGGCACTGGCTGGGGCAGCCCAAAGCTGGTTTCCAGCAGTTCGCGCCTTCGGGGACTGGCCTGTGGGCCAAGGCCTTGGTCATCCTGTCTGACGACATTGGTCCCCTCTCCTCTCCTCCGGGCAGGCGTGGCGTCCTGCACCTTCACGAGAGCAGCGGGATCCATGACATCGGCCTGCCCCAGTGGCAGCTCCTGCTCTGTCTGATGGTCGTCGTGGTCATCCTGTTTTTTAGCCTCTGGAAAGGAGTGAAGACATCAGGAAAGGTAATCTTTGTTTCTATTTAAGTTGGGAAGTTGGCCTAAAAAAAAAAGATTTTTTTTTTTCTAGCTGTAACTAGGTAGTTGGCAAAAAGCAAATGTGGAAGTGGAAGTAGAGAGCTGGGGTTTGCACACTCCCCAGCTCTGCCACTGGCTAAGTGGGAGACCTTCCCTAAGCCCAAGTCTCCCAGCAGTAGGGTGGAGGTGTGCATCAGGGCTCCATGCTTTTCCACCAAAGCTCCCAGGGATTGGGACACCCCAAGGGTCTCCGGCAAAAACCTAAAGCAACCTATTCTTGTGTATTGGATAAATCATGAATTCTGGCTTAGAACTTGATGCAAATTTGCATCCTTCTCTGGAATATAACCATCTCCTTCACTATAAAACCAGTGTACTTCATCCAGCAGAGTGGTGAGTGCCTGCAAAGAAAGGTCTAGGTTTCCTGGGAAGAGGGCTATGGGGAGGGGGCCGGGGACATAAGAGGGCCACCAGAGTCTGCATTCTGACCTGTGTGATGCTTCCCCACTCCTGTATGGAGCTCCTCATCTCATGGCTCATGTTGATTCTGAGCCTGGGGAACAACCACATTTAGACCCTATGGGGTCCATGTGGAGCTTGACGGGTCCTAAAGAAGCTGTCATTGAGAAATGCTCTTTGTATTGTGATCAGCTACTGCTGCATAACAAAACACCCCAAGATGTAGTCATTTAAAATAACCATTTTGTTCTCGTGGTGATGTGGGTTAACTGGGACCAGATAGGTGGGTCCTCTGCTCCTCATGCTGTTGCCAGGCTCCATATCTGGGGGCATGGCTGAGCTGGAATGTCCAAGATGGCACACACTCATGGATGGTGGTGAGTACTGGCTGGGAGCCCAGCTGGAGCTGTCAAGCGGAGCGTCTTGGGTAGTTTCCACAAAACCTCTCCAAGTGGCTTGGGCTTCTCACAGCATGGCGGCTGAGTTCCAAGAGCAAGTTCCAAGCAGACAAGCCCCAGTGTGCAAGTAGCTCTTTCAGTCTCTGCTTGCATCATGCTTGCTGTTGGCCCAGTGGCCAAGATAAATCTTATGGCGAAGCCCAGAATCAGTGTGGGAGGAGACTCACACAGCTGTGGGTTCACTGGGGGTCGTGAGGCCAACAGTCTACCATAATCAAGTAAGTGTGAATTTGTAAGGAGCTTCATTAGACAAGTGATTTGGCAAGTGGCATGCATCAGGGGAATGTCTGGTATTCCTAGAGTCCTTGGGTATGCCAGTGAGAGCAAAGACAGTGACAGGGAACCAGCAGCCAGTGGGGATGAAATCAGTCAAGAAAGGCTTGAAGTGGAACTTCCTAACAGCATGGTGGAGACACAGAGTGTACCCCAAGGAGGAGCCCAAATAAAATGCAGACCATGGCTGCAAGAAATTCTGCGATAGGGCAAAACCAGGCTAGGACCCCTACCATTCTAGCACCTGGTATAGAGTAGGTCTTAGTAAGTATTTATTGAAGCGTTCATGAGGAAAGGAAGGAAGGTAGGAAGAAAGGGAAAAGGGTGGGTGGATAAATAAGTTGGGGAGCCTCACTGAGTGTTCCTTCAAATTCAGTACAACTTATTAAGCATTTATGGACACCTGCGACATGCCAGGCTTGATACTAGTATTAGTGACTAAAGAATAAAGACCAATTCCTTCTCCAATTGCGTATCTTCTTATATGTATTACAGACAGGCATAGGTCAACCTGTGTTGCTAGTTTCTTGAGCCTTCATCCAGAGACATGTGTGTCCTTCTCTAAATAAACAGTAATGGTCACAAACTGTACAACACACTATTCTAGGTCTTGATTTTTTTTAATTTTTTTACTTTAAGATCCTTTCATATCGGAGTCAGGTTACATTTTAACTGAAATACAAACTGTATTTTGTACCAGCCCTTGAATCAATTTAGCGGATCGCGACAATTTTCTAAGAAGGAAATGGACTGGAATGCATTGCGCATGGTAAAGGAGCAGCTGGCTTTCGGAACTTGGATTTTAGCTATAGCCATCCGCACGTGTGTGTGTGTGTGTGTGTGTGTGTGTGTGTGTGTGTGTATTTTGTGTCGATCTACAGGTTGTTTGTTAACGTGAGTTGTCATGGTGAAAAAAGTGAGAGATCTGCATCAGAATTAGCTCTTTAAACTAAAGACCATGGAGAAGGTGGCATTTGGCCTAGGTCTCTAAGGACAGGAACAGATAGGGATGCGGAGAGGGAGGGGGTTTTCAGCAGAAGGTTTTCAGCATCAGTAAAGCCACTGAGGTGCCAGAGCCCCAGGCCAGCCTCGTCCAGCCCCTCGGCTCCTCTCCTGGGTCTCAGGAGCACGGCTCTCTTGGCCTCTGCAGGCAGCAGAATTACAGACATCTGAGCTTTACTATTCTCCTGGCGTGGGCGCGAGGCCACCGCAGCTCCTGATGTTGCATTCCAAGATTAAGTGCCCTAGAGCCATTGCCAGGGCGGGTACAACCGGCCCCAGCTAGTGCAGCACTTGGTCCGATGGAGCAGGAGTGGCTGATGGGAGATTGATGGGAAGAAGGAGCAGACCTGAGCATGCTCAGTTCCTCTGTGCAAAGGCACCTTCAAGGAGTCATGCCCCCCCCCTTCGGCCCCTAGGGGAACCCCTCCCCACACCAGGTGGAAACTTGTCAAACTGAAGCCACAGCCCACATTTTCCATAAATCCCCCAAACCAAAGCCACAGCCCACATTTTACGTAAATCCTCCCCCAGCATTCTGCTGGCGGCTGAGCAGGAAAGGGCCCCTGGCTGTCCATGGGGGAGGGAGCTTTCCAGAATAGGGAGCTTCAGTCAGGACATTCCTGTGCCCGGTCTTTAATTGTTTTTATAAACTGGCTTAGGAGAAAATCAAGAACACTGCTGATTTCTAGCCAGACTACATCTGGAACAGGACGGAGCTTTTCTTAGCAGGCTTCCACAGCCGCAGAGCCGCCTGAAATGAATTGCGAATGTTCACACTTCCCGGCTTGGCAAATGAGGGCTCTGTGCCCGGCAGGAGATGTGACTCCATTCCATGGTGGCAGCAGGGATGGTGGGGGGCGGGGCACAGTCTGAATCAAGGTAAGGGGTGACCCCACATCACGCACTCTAACCTTGCCCACTGACTATCTCAAGGTAAAGGGCAGAGGTTGGAGTGGGGAGTTAGCCTCCAGGGAGTTAGTTAGGGAGCATGCGTGCTGCTGCTTGCAATTCTAGAGTCCTGCCTGCATCTCCCATCTCCTGAGTCTTTGGCTGAACTGGCTTTTAGATCATCAGCCTAATCACCGAGCCCCTAAATGTCAGACAGAAGGCACACAGAGGCCATCTACACCAACCAGTTCATACACAAGGGGAGGCCGAGGCCTGGAGGGGAACAGGGTGTCACCAAAGTCTCTGGCATGGCTAGGACTTGACCTTGACTCCCAAATACACAGGGAAGTGAGTGATTAAGAACATGGCTTTGTGACCAGAGCACCTGGGTTGGAGTCCAGGCACCACTGTTTCCTGCTGGGTGACCTTGGAATTAATGCTGCTCCCTAAGGAGGGCAGTTAGTCATCGTGCCAACCTCCAGGGTCATTGGGAAGATGAACAGAAGGTCCTTGGTCCAGGGCTGGCAGATGGAAATTGCTCAATACATGATCCTTGTCCTGCCTTTGTGTCCTTCCTCAGCACCCCTTCCAATGCTCTGTCCCCACCCCAGAGGTTTGCAGACTCCGCTGAGGAGGCTCAGTGCAGCTCTGGGGAGAGTGGCGGGCCCAGGCTCCTACCTGCTCTGCCTGAATTTTCAGAAGCCTTGGGCTCTCCTATGCCTGGAGATAAACCAAGACAACAGAACTGGCTAGAGATGGCCACCACGTTCCGCCACTGCACTGCCAGGCTGCCGGCTGTTTGGGGGACGGTAAAAGAGCACCTCTCAGATTCTGGCAAGAGTGGTAGGGTTGGGGAAAAAGCCGGACCAATAAAAAAAAATGAGTTTTAGAATTTTTAAATAGAAAGGTCATTTTGTTGTTTGTGAGTTTCAACACTTAGTTCTTCTACCCAAGTCTTCCCATTAATGGTTCAATACAAGCTGGTCCTGCCTTGCCTTAGCGACTTAATTGAGCCCATTATTGGAACCATCGGTGGGTCCAGTTAGTGACTTAATTGGACCCATTGCTCAAATGCAAATGATATTTTTATAGTGAAGAACATCATTTGCATGGGGGTGATGAATATGCTAAAATATTTACAGATCAGCATTTTCTTAACGTAACATCAGTACATACCCTCACCCCATAAATCTTGTATATCTTCATTATTTGTGCAAATGTCCTTAAAACCCAGTTCAGAAGATGACACATTCTGAATCATTAGAGGCTAAATCAGTGCAGTTTTGTACTGATAAAGCACAGACATTTATCATCCCTGTGTTAGAGTAGACCTTCGTGGTGACCCTGTGCAGTGCTTCTCAACCTTTAATGCAAGTAAGGATCACATGGAGGGAGGGCTTGTCAAAACTCAAGAATGCTGGGTCTCTCCTTGACAGTTTGATTCCACAGCGTGGGAATTTGCAATTTTGACAGGCTCCTTAGTGGTGCTCATGTCTCTGGTCCATGGGCCTCACCTTGCTCTAGGCAATCTTTTGCCTAATGCCTGGATCTCTGGCAATATTTGCACTTTGAATGATGGGGGCCTCACCATCTCCACATCTCTCCTGGAAGCTCATTCTCTCTTTAGAGAGCTCTGTTCACTGGAAAGTTCTTCCTTTTATAGAGCGAAGATTTTCTTCATTGTGATTATCAGCTGTTGGTTTGAGTGTGGTACCCTAGAGCCAAACAAATCCTAACCCTGATCCATAGAAACACAAGGTGGATGAGAAGTTGGATTGAGGTGATAGAAAGCAGTGGCCTCCCTTGGGGACTGAGGACATTTGGCTAAACAACGGGCTGCTCTTCACTCTTTTCACATCCTGCTCAAAGATGGACTAAGTCTGGCTTTTTGTGGCCAGAGATGCACTGCAAGTTAAAATTTTGAGAGCAGAGAAGCCTGGGGTGGAGATGACAAGAGCCCAAGTGTCCCTTCCCTTTGCCCAGTTTGCATACTGGGCACACGTCAGTAGGAGCTAGTGGTTGTCCAAGGATCCAGCGAGTCTTCCTTTTTGCACAAGATTTTAGGCAGCTGAACTCACTTCCACTAGCAATTCTGAGAACTTTCCATAAGACTCAGATGATTTTGCTTTCAATACATGTGCAAGGACAGGACAAGCTCCTCTTTCTTTTTTTTTTTTTTTTTTAAAGATTTTATTTATTTATTCATGAGAGATACACAGAGAGAGGCAGAGGGAGAAGCAGGCTCCTCTCAGGGAGCCCGATGTGGGACTTGGTCCTGGGACCGGGATCATGCCCTGAGCCAAAGGCAGATGCTCAACCTCTGAGCCACCCAGGAGTCCCCAGGTTCCCCTTTCCCTGGTGCAGTCAGGGTCAGCTCCATCATGCCCTGATGTTCATTGTGTCCTCATATGTTCCAAATTAAATCCACGTTAGAATCTCAGACAGGACCAGTGAGTGCTGCTTGCAGTCCCCCTGGGAGATTCCTTGGAGTCAGAGCTGAGGATGTTTTTTGATGGTGGAGTATGGTCTCACCTGGCCTGCTGGGCCAACCACTGGGCCTGCAGCTGTTGACATGAGTTTTAGGGGAACACAGCAGTTAGGGCTCAATACAAAGATATGTGAAGGCTCCTCCTGTGCCTGTCACTAAGGACTCGTTTGTCCCAGTTTGGGAGAATAAATCCAGGATTGATGTGAGGCCAACCAGTTGCAATGGCTCCACTTTCCAAGTCATGTTTTCCTTCTTATTTGTTTTTGGCAATTTGTCCTCCTGTTCCTGCACTTCTGAAAGAAAAGAGAGAGCTAAAGCCTGTATCCACAAAGACTACCCCTCAAAATAGAATGAGGGAATGATGGAGGAACAACTGGATACCATGAAACAGAGGAGTCTGATGCCTCTTCTGATTCCCTGAGAAGACATGACCAACTATTGAGACGTTTAATTACTCCCTGATTCATTTGCTCATTCATTCACTTGCTCATTCTTTCATTTGTTCCTGGACTAACTGACCCTCAGAATTAACACTGACTCACTCATCTGTCTACCCATCCATGTGCTCAACAGTGTACTTACCTACCATCCATCTACCATTTAACTATGTATCCAACCATCCAATCGTCCATCCATCCAATCATTTATCTATACAACTGTCCAATCACCCATCCAATCATTCCTCCATTTAACTGTCCACTTATCCATCCATCCATCCATCCATCCATCCATCCAGTCATTCATCTATACAACTGTCCAAGCATCTATCCATCCAGTCACTTATCTATACAGCTGTTCAATCATCCATCCATCCATCCACGCATCCAATCATTCATCTATACAACTGTCCAGTCATCCATCCCTCTATCCAACAAATGCTTCTTAAGCACTCATGTATGCCATGTGCTGGAAATACAAGTTTGAAAAATGTAGGGATTTTGCATCCAAAGAGCCCCTGGTCTAATGAGAAAGAGAGACAAAGAAGATAAATCCCAGTCCTTCAATGTAAGCATGGAAAACAGAACTTGGTTTTTCATATTTCATTTTTTGCGTTGAGCCCACATCTTTCCATACCAGCAAAGAGCTCTACCCTTAGTCATGTTTCAGGCTTCCATATTCCCCCCAGAGATATGTAAAGATTCTAAGGGCTGCATAGTGCCAGGACTTTGGGAAGAAGGACCCTCTGGCCCTTAAATCACATGTTTTCTTTTGTTTTAGCGGAGTCTTCTTGGGTCTGGCTAACACAGCCCTGAGCAAATTCTTTTGCTGGGGGCACTGTCTTCTTTCTGCAAGGCTCTCCATGGCTGCATCTGCCTATTGCAGTGATTTTTAACCTTGACTGCACATTTACATCACCCGGGCGATGTGGTGGACTGGAGCTTTCAAAACATACTGAAGTGCAGGCCCTACTCCAGGCCAATTAAATCAGAAATCCCAAGAATAAGATCTGAACTTTGACATTTTAAACTACAACTTTCTTCAGAGTATTCTAATGTGTAGTCGGGGGTGAGAAGGCACAGCGAGGAAGCCCATACAACCTTCCCCTCTCCCTACTTTTCGTCTCTATTTTTCCAGCTTGGGCAAAGGGGTGAGAGAAATGTCCCTTTTTAGTCTAGGGATAATCTCTTTCTATATGGGGTTCTGGACGAGACAGTTTGTCTTTGTCCAAAATCTGACCCAAGATAAAGAACAGCCAGAGATTCTGCTTTCTGCCCAGCCACACCCCTTCTTGGACAATGAACCCCTTCTTGGCCGATGAGTTGAGAGGATGTGTTTGAATGAAGGTAGAGGAGATGGAGAGAGGCGGGAGGGACAGACTGGAGGGAATGCGACAGTGAGGAGCATAACGGTGGGTGCTTGCCTGGGGCCACTTGAAGGGGTCAGTAGAGGCGACTCCTAGAGGAGGAGGTGCTGGGTGCTGTGAGGACCTAGTCTTCGTCCTGGCTGCAGGGCCACCTCCACGTGCGGCTCTCCCACCTGGTTCCGAGCTGCTGGAGGGCATGGCCTTGCCTGGAGATGGAGCTTGCGGCCCATGCACCGTGTGGCCCGTGCACCTTCCCAGGCGGAGGCCGGACCCACAGCAAGCCTGTCCACCGCCAGGTTGTGTGGATCACAGCCACGCTGCCCTACCTTGTGCTGTTTGTGCTCCTGGTCCACGGCATCACGCTGCCCGGCGCCTCCAACGGCATCAACGCCTACCTGCACATCGACTTCTACCGCCTAAAAGAGGCCACGGTCAGTACCCAGGGATCACCCATGTTCAGGCCGGGGTTGGGGCGGGTTCTCGGGGCAAGTGGTTGGAAATCTGGTCCCAGCTCTGATGCAAATTTGTGGTGCCGCCTGGGACGGAGGACGGGGCTACAGCTTCTCCATCTGACCGATGCCCGTTTGATTTGCACCTGACGGGTCTCCCAGCTCTGATGGCCCGGGACGCTGTGGCTCCGTGGTGTCCTTGGCAGACCCCTCTTTCCAAGGGGAGCAATACCCTGTCCTAGTCCTGACACCTGCCATGGCCTCCTAGTCCCCACTGAGTCACCCCAGCCTAATTCTACGCTCTAGTCCTCGCCCTGCCCTCTGCTGCCATTTCACGATGTTGGCAGAAGCAGCCACCGCCACAGAGGGCTCTGGACCCTGCTGATTCCCTCCAGGCTGCCACAGCCTCCTCCACTCACTGTCCTGCCCAGAGACACGGACTAAATGAAGATGGGATGATGTGGAGTGCAGGGGGACGAGGCTGGGATCAGAGACAGTCTCAGAGGTACCCAGGGCCTTGAGCATCTTCCAGCCATGGCCGAGATCATCTCTGCCTCCTCCCTGAAGTCTGTGTCAGTGACAGTACCTCAGCACTTCCCTTCACTATTCCCAAAGGCTTCTTTTTCTTTTTTCAAAGATTTTGTTTATTTGAGAGAGGGGGGGTGCAGAGGGAGAGAGAAGCAGACTCACCGCTGATCAGGGACCCCAGATGTGGGGCTCGATTCCAGGACCCCAGGATTATAACCTGAGCCAAGGGCAGATGCTTAACTGACTGAGTTCCCCAAGTGCCCCCCAAAGGCTTCTTCACACTCTCTGAACCCATAGTAATCCTGGCAGGCGGGAGCAACATAGGAGGGGCACCTCTCAGTACACACCTCTCATAGCTACAATGTCCCAACACACCAGTGTTACAGTCCAATGACCAAGAGGAAAACCTATTTCCTTAGTAACTGTCAGAAAGATAATGGAGCCTAAGACTCGAACCAGTCTTGTAAATCCTGAAACAAGTCAGAGTTCTGTTTGTTTGGCACCTGTTCAAACATCCTGTCTTTCTGATGAGTAGAAACTGAGCCTGCATGCCATCTCAGGGAGCAGACCTATCCTCCTCCATCGGATTGCTTCTCTGGGTCCAGCCTCTGCTCGCAGAGTAGGGGAAGCCTAGGATAACATGGTGTCAGAAAACTTGCAAGTCCAAGTTGCGTGGGGCTCTCTGTCCCAGTGGGCTGGGTGTAATTACCCCCACTGTGCAGACAGGTGAGATTGGCCAGGGCTAGAAACTGGTGGGGGTAGGGGTGGGAAGGGTACCCAGATCTCCGGGCTTCCAGCCATGTGCTTTCATCACCCAGTAGTTGGAATAAGTAACCCCAGCATCCGACCTTCCCCGAGGAGTCAGCGCTGGCTGTGGGCTGGTTGAAGCTGCTGGGAATCCTTGTCCCTTTCCTGAGGATGCTGTCTGTGTAACCCCCTGAGATGGTCAGACCCTTTGCCCTCACTCCATCCATGTTCTAGCCTAGAACTGTGAGTTTAGTCATTTTCTTTGAAAATCTGGGCATCAAACAACCCAGTGAGTTCCTCCAGGCTGAGCTCATTCATGGCCACCAGAGCCAGGAGCTGCTGGAGAGGCCGTGGTCTTCTCTCCACCGTAGCTTCATGCAGGCTTCTGGGGAGGAGTTGCGTGGCTGCCCATCGCTGGTTCAGACCTCACTTCCTTGGGTCTCAGACGCGCCCCGGGGCTCCCCAGCCTTCCTGGAGCAGCCTTCCCCACTCTCTAGGAAGCAGGGGGTGATGGCTCTTGGCCCATTTCAGGTATGGATCGATGCAGCAACCCAGATTTTTTTTTCCTTGGGGGCTGGATTTGGAGTCCTGATTGCATTTGCCAGTTACAACAAATTTGACAACAACTGCTACAGGTAAGATCCTGGCCAGGGCTCTGGAAAGCCTTAGATCCTGGGGACTGACCCCTGCAGGGATGGGAGGGAAGATTCTGGTCTGTGGACAAATGAACTCTTCTAGGGACCTTCCATGAACTCCAGAGGGGGTGTTCTGTGCACTCTGGCATGGCCTGTGGGGATCCTAAGGAGGGCCTCCCAGTCCAGGACACCTCTTAGACACTCAAGGTGAGAGGCTGGGAAGGTTGAGGCCACTAATGCTGGGAGGTCATGGGGACAGGGAGTTGACACAGAGGAGCACTGTGTGGCTCTCAAGAGCAGACAGCATTGTCTGTCTGTCCATCCGATGCCCAGACAGGCAAGGGCTGGTCACGCAAGAGGTGAGGGCCTGGCAGGAGCAGAAGTAAAACCACAGGGCAGACTGGGAAGTCCCCCCGGAGGGCAGAGTCAGAAGACCACATCCCGGCCTGGGTCTAGCTCAGCCTCTGACTCTGCCTCCCGAGGGCTCCCCGCTGCGAGGGCTCCGCACAGGAGCATGTGTTGGATCCGCTCCCGTCACTCTGTCGAGGGCTTAAGATGGAATCACACCACCCTCTGGCGTGGGACAGAGTGAGTGGGATGAGCACGTGCCCAGGGGGCAGGCTGGAGGCCGGCCCGGGAAGTGGGGTGATCAGCCTCTACAGGAGATCGGCAAGAGAAGGGAGGGAAGGTGGAGGGGAACCTTGGAGGACAGTTGGGATTGTGATGGGTGGCCACAGAGTGGACGGCGTGCACGGCAGGGAAAGCCCGAGAGGAGCCAGCGAGGTGGGATGTCTGTGGGCCAGTGAGTTACTGGTCTGGGTTGTTCCAAGACTGCGTGCTGGGGAGTCATCACGGAAGGAAGCCCGGAAGGAAGGTTGGGTCGTCTCGACAAAGCTCTTGAGGGCCTGGGTGAGAAGCTGAGAAGCAGCAGGGAGCTGCGGACAGTTTTGCTGAAGGAGGAGGCTGGTCATGTGGTTCCCCAACAAGAGTTTGATACTGGCCTCTGGTCTCAGAGTGGCCCCCTGGGAGCTGTCAGTCTGTTCCCTGCACCTGCAGGTCCTGAGCCAGTGGGGTGCTGGGGTCCCCGTGGTGGCAGGGAAACTGACGAAACGGTGGCATTGGAAGCAGCGGTCCCATAGACAGTGCAGGGCTGGGGGAGCCGGGTGGGGGTGTCGGGCGACTTAAGCAAATGGTGCCTTCTCTCCCCCAGGGACGCCCTGCTCACCAGCACCATCAACTGTGTCACCAGCTTCATCTCCGGGTTCGCGATCTTCTCCATCCTCGGCTACATGGCCCATGAGCACAAGGTCAACATCGAGGATGTGGCCACTGAAGGTGGGTGGGCAGAGCCACCCGCCGACGGGAAAGGGGCCGAGAGAGCCGGGAAGGGGCTTTCCCGAGGCCGTGGGAGCACGAGGGCTGGACCTGGAGGCTTCCACGCTGTCCGCTTTCTCTGAGGCTGTCGGTGGCCGTTCCAGGCCGGCCTGGCTCCTGCACGTGCCACAGAACCTTCCCCCGTCAGGCTAGCGGGACGGACTGTGGAGCCCCTGTGCTGAGCCCCTGGCATGCCTGCATGCGTTCTCACGGTGCTGTGAGGCACGTGTGAGTCAACTCACTTTAAAGGTGAGAAAGCTGAGACTCAGGCCCTGTGAGTTGTCCCAGGTCACCCAGCTAGTGAGCCATGGTGCTAGCATTCAGGCCCTGAGCCATCCGACTCTGGACTCTGCCCTTCCCTCCTGTTGCTCCTATTCTTATGGCCACGGAGAAGCTGAGGCCTGGGAGGAACTCAAATGGACTCTGAGGAGCACAGGCTTTTGAGAGTTAGAGGCTCCCCGAGGGTGTACGGGGTGCAGGGCTTGCAGCCCATAGCCTACAGCTGTCTGAGTGAAGCCCGGCTCTCAGGCCTGGCTGCTGGAGGTGAGCCTCCTTGGGACCTAAGAAACTAGGAGCTGGAGCAGCCGGTGGCACCTGTCATCCACAAACCCTTGGTCTGCCCCAGGTGACTGACCAAATATCGTGGAGTCGGCTGGGCTGATTGGGCCTTGGCTACTCTTCCACCACCTGCATCTCAGACCCGAGGAGCCCGTCACTGACAGGTCCTCGGTGCTTCTTACAGGAGCTGGTCTGGTTTTCATCTTGTACCCAGAAGCCATTTCCACCCTGTCAGGATCCACGTTCTGGGCGGTCGTGTTCTTCATCATGCTCCTGGCTCTGGGGATTGACAGCTCAGTGAGTGACCCTGCTAGGAGACCACGCCACACACACTGAGGGAGGCAAGGCAGGGTGGGGGTGAGGTGGGCACACACTGGGCCTGACCCTCTTCACCCCACCCCACTGACTGCTCGGCCTGAAGTTCCCACCTGATTCCTAGTTTCCAAGAAGCCCTAATTAAATACAAGAAAGTGAGTCCTCACTCACAAAAGCAAGACTTAGATCAAGGCTGAGAACCCATAAAATCTCCAATGGCATCAAGAAATCCATACCAGAAGCTTCCATCAGATGAGCTAGCCCAGTGCCCTCCTCTCACACCTAGGGAAACTGAGTGCAGAGAGGGCGTGGGTGGAACTTTTCTCGCACCAAGCACTGTTTCCATTAGAGTTCATCACCAGCCACCAACGAAAACACTTGGCGTCTCATTGGTTTCTTAGAACCTTTTGTTTTACCCACATGCAAGAGTAGATTTCCTGGCTTCTCTGTGTCTGTGCCCATCTTTGGTAAGTTTGCAAGAAGTCTTGGGGTAGCGCTGGCGAATGAGGGTCCTCTTACGCCTCGTCCTTTCGTCGGCCCATCTGCCAGGAGCAGTGTGTTGAGTAGGATTGTGAGGCCTCTTCCAGGCTCATAGGAAGGAACACTGAATGTGGGTAACATGGTCTGTGGAGGGTAGAGGAGACACGTAGAGGTGGCATGCGGGCTTCTTGTCTGCCATCCCAGGCGTGCGGTGTCACTTAAGTAAGCACATGACTGTTACTCACCGGTGACCCTTTCAGACTGGCCTTTGAGATGCCCTTGCTGGACAGTTGGAAAGGCAGCCAGAAATCCTTGTCAGACACTGCTGCCTAAAGTTCCAGGAAGCCTTTTACTTATATGCAAATAGATTACAGGCGTGAGTGGTTTGGCATTTTACCCTCCCCCGCCCCACACACCCTCCTGGGCTCATCAGTCCCCCTCTCAGGTCAGGCAGGGCCTGGGGCAGGAGACAGGGACCTGCTGATCAAAGGGAGACAAGGGTTGCCTCTCCAGCCTCCTTCACATAGTTTCTGAGTTCCAAGTTGGGTTGAGAGCAAGGCAGAGTGGGGTGAAGAGGGGGAGGAGGGCAAGGCTGCCACCAGGGTGCCTGAGTCCCCCTGCCCCCAAGGCTTCGGGAGGTCGGAAGGAGCCTGGGACCTGAGACTCAGGTGTGGGCAGCCCCTCATACCTGCTCCTCACTCTGCCTGGCTCCGTCCAGATGGGAGGCATGGAGGCCGTCATCACCGGCCTGGCGGACGATTTCCAGGTCCTGAAGAGACACCGGAAACTCTTCACATTTGGTGTCACCTTTGGAACCTTCCTCCTGGCCCTGTTCTGCATAACCAAGGTGAGGGCTGGCTGGGCTCTGGGTCACCTGGAGCTCCTGGGGCTGCAGTTCAATCCAATGCAGTCAGGAATTCCCAGGCTTGGGGCTAGGGAGGGGGTCAGGGTGAGTTCAGGGGAGACCACGACGTGATGGTGGGACCTGGCAACCTCAGCCCTGCAGCCTGACCACCCCCCCAACCCCCGGCTATACCCAGGCGTCCTCAGTCTCCCAGCTCTGAGCCTGAAGAATTCCAGGCAACTCTTCCCAACTGCTGATCTGTTTGAGGGGCAGCAGAAGCCCCTGTGAAAGCCAGCTCACTTGTTACTGGCGGAAATACCCAGCCTCAGACCTTTGCTACAATGCAAATATGTAACATCAAGACAATACCCCCACAACCCTGTCACCCGCCTTCTCGGACAGGGTTCTGAGCCAGTGGGACAGCGGACAGGTGAGTCGGGATGGATGTGACAGTCGGTGGCCATTTCTGGCCCGCACGGCCTCAGGCTTTGTGTCCCCATGCCCAGGGTGGGATGTACGTGCTGACCCTGCTGGACACCTTTGCGGCGGGGACCTCCATTCTGTTTGCTGTGCTCATGGAAGCCATCGGAGTCTCCTGGTTCTATGGTACGTGGGGGGCCCGGAGCGCGTGCAAGAGCCTCAGTCACAACCTGGAGATGCGAAGGGGCTGTGCATTACCAGGGGAGCCACTGCTGATTCCAGAACAGAGCAAGTGGCTTCTTGGATTCAGCTCTCCCACCCCCCAGCTCATCTTTGCATTTTAACAGGAAGCTGCAGAAACCCCCAGGGGCACCCAGTGCCAGCTTTTAGGGAGCAATGCCCAGGAAGCTGCTGCTCCCCAAGCCGTGCAATCCCTTCTAGAATAGGGTTGCCACACTTAGCAAATAGAAGACAAGACACCCAGTTAACCTTGAATTTCAGATAAACAAAGAGTAATTATTTTAGGGTGAGTGCGTCCCAACTATGGGATGCACAACTAAAATTGTTTTCGTTGTCTCTCTGAAATTCAGCCGTAACCGGGTGTCTCGAATTTTCTCTGGCAGCCTTATTCTGGAGCTGAATGGGGAGCACGTGTCACAAATTGTCACATGCGTCCCAACGGTTCCTTTCTTTCCCCCACGGGTCACACCAAAGAGTTAATCAGTGTGAGGCTGGACTCTTCTGTCAGAGAAAGGGCAGGCCAAGAGCCGTGCACGCTGCGGTCATTGTTCTAAGCGACCCAGAGCCAGGCTGCCCGGCTCTGTTACCTGGGCACGTCCTCCCGCTCCCGGGGCACTGCTCTCCCTCTGGAAAAATAAATCGGAGTGGCACATAAAAGGCGATACGGTGTATTTTTTAAAATCTTTAATTGAAGTATAGCCGACCCAGAGGGTCGCGTTAGTTTCAGGTGTGCGACGCAGTGATTGGACACCCCGTATGTCCCTCGGCGCTCGCCACGATGGTGGTGTTACCGTCTGTCACTCAACGGCCTTCCCACAGTGTCAGTCTTCTCTTCCCAGGCCCCACGACTGACTTATTTAGAAGCTGGAAGCGTGTACCCCCTCATCTCCTTTATCTGTGGCTCGTACCCCCCACCCAGCTCCCCTCTGGCCACCACCACTTCATTCCATGCAGTGAAGCCTCTGGTTTTTTGTTTGTCTCTTTTTTGCTTTGTTCCCTCGTTTTGTGGTTTAGATTCCACCTGTGAGTGAGGTCACGTGGCATCCCCTGTCTGTGACTGACCCACTCCACGTAGGGGCGTCCTCCACCTAGGGCCGGCTGTGTCCCCCGCGCCGCCCCCTCCAGGGGCCTGACCCTTGTGGAGGGCAGCACGGGCAGCCCCTGGGGCTCTTCGGGGCAGGGGGTGGGCCGTGTGACCGGCCTGCCCCGTGTCCCCTGTGTGCCCAGGTGTGGACAGGTTCAGCAACGACATCCAGCAGATGATGGGCTTCAAGCCGGGCCTCTACTGGAGACTGTGCTGGAAGTTTGTCAGCCCCGCCTTCCTCCTGGTGTGTACGGGGTGGCCGTGGGGGCTGGGTCCGGGCTGGGGACACGGGCATCTCTGCTTCTTAGGGAGGAGGTTCTGGGACGCAGAGCCCCTAACCCCGGTCACGCCCGTGGGTGCTCCCAGCCAGGAGGCTTCCACGTGGCCGGGTCTCAGGGGGCCGGGTCCCCAGGGGGCTGTGTACGCCACCCCTCGGCCTGCTCCACGGTCGCCTTCTCATTGCTCTTGTGTCCTTGTTGTCATCATTTGCTTCTTGCTCTCTTCCTCCTTCTCCACCTCCTTTTCTCTTTTCCCGCTTCCCTTCTTTGCTGCGCTTTCTGTGCTCCCTGCGCCCACGGCCCTCGCCTCCCGGGCTCCCGCTGCTTCCCGCCGGCCTCTCCCCATCCTGGTCTCTCCTCCCTCCGTCCTTCCTCTGTCCCCGCAGTTTGTGGTGGTGGTGAGTGTCATCAACTTCAAGCCGCTCAACTACGACGACTACGTCTTCCCGCTCTGGGCCAACTGGGTCGGGTGGGGCATCGCGCTCTCCTCCATGGTGCTGGTCCCCGCCTACGGCATCTACAAGTTCTTCAGCTTTCGGGGCTCCCTTCGGGAGGTGAGCTCAGGGCGGGGAGTGGGAGGGCGGCCATCGCCAGTCCTCCGGTGACATGAGAGAGGGTGGACACCCCGACGTGGACCCCAGAGCCCCCCCCCCCCCGTGTTCTCAGGCGTAGCAGTACGGACCTTGGGAAGAAGGGAGCGCTTGGCAAGGTGCCCGCCGAAGATGGGGTTCACCGCCTGCCCCCTGCTGTCAGATTCTGTGTCACAGGAGCATATGGCCTCCTGCGTCCCTGCCACTGTATTTACGTGAGGAGGGGCCACTCACCCCTCGAGTCCCCTTCTGAGGTTTGTCGGGTCCTGCATGTCCCCATCTCCCAGTCTGAGCTGGCGGTGGCCTGGCCATCTCGGCTTCTTGCCCGCCTCCTTCCTGAACCTGACGCCTTCCAGCCTGGACCAGAGATTTCCAAAATACATCTTCTTCTTTTACTTGTGTGCACGTACACGGAGAAGGGTTTAGGAAACAGTGCCTTTGCTCTGAAACCATGTCTGTCCTATTTGGTTTTCTAAAAATGCCCTTTCTTTTATAAATATTGGTACCAGTCTTCACCTCGCGTCCTTACTTTGCAAGGTGAAGCGTCCTCTCCCCCACCGCCATGCCCTCACCTCCCAGCTCCTTGCTGCGAGGCTGCTGGGCACTAGTTGGAGCCCCCAGAGCTCACATTCTAACCAGGGGACGGGCAGACAAATGAGGACGTCAGGAAGCCAGCCGGCCAGGGACTGAGGGAAGAGGGTCCGGCCGGGCTGTGTCTGCCCCTCCCCCAGTGCCTTGTGACCTGTTCCTGCCCTTGAGCCTCTGGGCCACCAGGGGGACCTGTGTTCTGTGAGCTCATCCTGGAGGTGGGAACCAGCATCTGCCTTGAGCTTTTCCTTTTTCACACTCCGGGAGGGCTTCCCACCGGCCGGATGTGTCATTGATCCAAAAGCATTCCGAGTCCCCGCCGTGGGAGGCCTGCCCGACCCCCTGTGCCCTCACTGCGCTCCCGGCTTGTCCTCTGCAGCATCAGTCCCGACCGTGGTTTCGGAATTGCCAGTGTGTTTCCGTGGCCCAGGGCCAGCCCTTCGAGGCACCGTGGGCTCCCCCAGAGCAGAGGCCGAGTGCGGCTCCCTGGCTTCTGGGGCCCCAGGGCCTCACCTAGCGTCTGACCGCAGTAGTTGGCCCGATAAACCTTGACTGGGTAGTTGACTCAAAGTGGATGCACCTGCGCCACAGACAGGGTCAGGACGTGTCTCGTACGGACCTCACACGCTGTTCATGCGGGACTTCAGGGCCAAAGAGCGGGTGGCCTTTATCCGGGGGTGGCTGCTGGGCTGCCCCTGGGCCTGGCTGAGACCTCCTCCCTGTCCATCTTCTCACAGAGGCTGGCCTATGGCATCACCCCGGAGAACGAGCATCACCTGGTGGCGCAGAGGGACGTCAGGCAGTTCCAGGTAGGTGGCGGCCGGAGCGTTCTGGGGAGGGGGCTGCGGCACGGGCCCTCCCTGCTGCCCGCCGTGTGCTGGCCGCACACCCACCCGCCACAAACCCCGGCAGCTGTGGGCTGAGCCTCGGGGGTGTGGTGCCAGGAAGGGGGGCTGTCTTCTGCTTCCACCAGCTTCTGCTTGCCCCCCTGCTCCTTGGTCCTGGGAAGCAAATGCCCCATCTTTCCTAAGCTGTATTCTCTCTCCGAGTGGCCGTCGCACCAGGCTGGGGATCTCCTATCTTGAAGGAAGAGCGGCAGGTGCATCAGTATCACGTTGACCTAAGCCCTTCTCCCTTAAAGTCCTTGGGGCTGGGAAGTGGGGGAGGGTCCTGGTGAGCCCCCTGTTTCAGACTTGCCGTGTGACATTAGGAGGCTGCTTCGCCCTTTCTGGCCCTAAGTGACAGTCAGGTAACCAGCCTGCGTGTTCCCGGGGGACTTTGGAGCAAGGGGTGTGTCCCCCGCCTGTCCCGTGCTCCTGGCTGCCCTTCCCGGCGGGCCCCTGGTCCTCTCGGTCCCCGGCCGCCCCGGCCCCGCCGTAAAGGCCTGTCGTCTTGGTCCGCAGCTGCAGCACTGGCTGGCCATCTGACCCGGCCCGAGGAGGAGGCTGCTGTGCCCACGCCCAGGTCCAAGGCTTCGCTACCACCCCGGACACAGCCTTGGCAATCCTCTCCTGAAAGATGTTCTTTCCGTCCTTCTTCCTCTTTCCCAGTTGCAAATGGTTCAGTGACCTGGTTTTTATTCACCTTCTGTTCATCTGGCCTGGGGGCTTTGGGTTTCGATTGGAAAAGCCTCGAGGGAGAAGAGGAGGGGAGGGAACAGGATGAAGGATGAAGGACTTCTGCAAAACCTCTTTTGTTTTGAGAAGGTCTCACGCAGCCTGGGATCTGGCCCAAGCTGAGCCCCAGGCTCGGGAGCATTGCCCACCACGTTTGCTTGCACTTTGGGTCACAGGAGAAATCCTGTCCACCAGGTCAGAGAAGGGATGTTCCCTTTGGCCAGATGCCATAGAACCAAACACAGACAAAAAGCCCAGCTGGGTCTAAGGCAGGGGATCCTCTTTCCCTTGCCACCCAGTCAACGCTGCGGGTCTGAACGTTGGTCAGGGAGCTTGGGTTGGTTTGTCCCCATCAGGAGCCTGTGGACAGGTGCTTTGAGGGATCGTGAGCAGAAACCTTCAAAGTTAGTTTTCACTCTGGCTAAGCTGAGTCTGACGTGTGTGTGTTCTGGAACATTCTTCCAGTTTCTGGTGGTCAGATGGTCCAGAGCCATGGATGTCACGAGGCAAAAATGTAGATGAGCCCCAGTGAGCAGGTTCTGCAGATACTTCTGAGCTCAGAGAGGCCACATGGGGGTCTTGCTCTGTCGGGCACACAGGGCCCATATGTGGCTTCTGAGACCATCTGGGGGACTTGGGACAGGAAGTCAGCAGAGCCAGAAGTGTGTCTCTACCATGAAATTTTCTGCCATCCTCACAGGGCCAGGCGGATGCCCAAGGGCACCCTGACAGGCTCTTTGTTTATTTGTTGTCCACAGACACCTGCAAAGCCTCCCCTGGGGGATCCCACCCAGCAGGGTCCCCGGCTCTCATGTGATGGGGGGTTGGCCCTGAAAACTTTCTTTGTGTCTCTTCGTGATCTGGACTTGGCATCTGAGGGCAGAGTGGAGCCAAGTGCATAGCAACCGGGTCATTCAAGTCAAGGGGAGAATATTCTGAGTTGATGGAGGAGGTGGGTGGTTTTAGAGAATTTCCAGCTTGACTTCTGCTACACTTCGCGCCTGGCGCCCTCTGGTGGTGGTAGTGGCTCGTTTCAGCTCATTCAGAGAACGGATTCAGAGTTTGGAGGCATCTGTTTGGGGTTTCTTTCTGTTTGGGGTTTGAATCTCTTATGCCCTCGCTAGACATCAAGATTCAGAGGTTCTTGTTGTGACTGTGGAAGCCCCTGTTGAAGACTCTTGGACCATAAATAAATAAAGAGGCCATTCATCCTGGGAGTGTAGGCAGACACACATCTGGAAGGTGCTTTGTGTAAAGCTGGGGTGTCCCTGAGCCCATCAATCAATCGTCCAGTTTGCAGAAGAGGGTTATGTGGGGGCCAGCTGGGGCAGGGAGGCGGTTTTCTCTCTGAAGGTCTTGAGATTTCCTTGCTAAGTCTGTGTCCTTGGGTTTTCTTTTCTTCTTTTCTTTCTTTCTTTCTTTCTTTCTTTCTTTCTTTCTTTCTTTCTTTCTTTCTTTCTTTCTTTCTTTCTTTCTTTCTTCTTTCTTTCTTTCTTTTTCTTTCTTCTTTCTTTCTCTCTCTCTCTTTCTTTCTTTCTTTCTTTTTTTTTGAGAAAAGAGGAAAAATCAGAAGACTTTTGATCTTTTCATGTAAAAAGGCCAGCTCAAAGTCTAAGGCAGTCCAGGTGGCAGGGGTCTTGGACCACTGTGGAAGGCGGGACCTGGGAGTGAGTGGAGCATCCCACAGAGTGGAGCATCCCACAGAGTGGAACAGTAAGGTGGGAGTTTGGGAGGCAAGGGTAGGGTGACCCATCACGGGTGCGGCCTGGTCCCCTAAGTGACTGAATCCTCCTGTGCAGGGCAACTGCTCTCTTGGTGTTACAGCTGGTTTTCCACAAAGTGTTTTCATCCCTGTCTCCTCCCATCTTCTCAGTGAGGACAGCAGGGCCAGTCTCTGCCCCCATTTCCAAGATGGGAACACCAAGGCCCAGCATTTCGGGCACTCTTGGTCAAGCTTTCTCAGCTACCAAGGGGTCAGTCAGACCCACAAGTCAGATCCCCTGCCTCTCAGCCCAGAGCCCTCTGAAATCCCCTGCACACTATGGTTTACACCACCCAGGGCTGTCGTTAAAATTAAAACTCCCAGTCAAGCGGCCAGGGAGGGTTTCTTAGCAAAAGAACAATGTGTGGGAGGAAGGGAAGAGGGGAGAGGATGTCATTTGTTCTCATCTAGCTGGTTGCCAGAGGAAACCATGTAGCTGCCCCCTTTTTGATGAACGCGATCGCTCTGGGGAACAGCGGGGTGTGCAAGCTGAGTCTAGCTGGCTGAAATGAGGGTGAACAGAAAAACCTGTAAATATATCAGAGTCAGGACACACTACAGAGAGAACCTGCAGTTTTCTCTTTGCCACCTGCCCGCGGCCTTTCTGCTGCCAGACATTTGTCCCAAGGGTGAATCGGAGATGTGGTGCTAGCTGACCCAACACCAAACCAACGCAATGGTGCTGCCTTGTGGCGGGAGTTGGCTCCTGAGCCTGGGGTAAGGGAGGGTCTGGTCCCAAGCCCAGGGCTCCCCCTGGGGGGGGGGGGGAGTAGGACCCAGGAAGCCCTTGGAAGTTCTCATGGAGGTGCTGGCAGACACTCTGGGCTCACCTTCCACCCACACTTAATGGAGGGGAGTATGTCCTTTATCCTAAGTAATGTTTGGCTTCTTTTTTGTGGCCTTTTTTTTTTTTTTATAGCAGAGGTGACCCGACATGAGGGTACTCCTGTGTACTGTATATGACCACTTTTGCATTATATCAGATTTTTAAAGGATTATTATTTTCCATGAAATGTACAATATCCGTTTAAGACCACCGCCGTTAGCATCTACTCAATGTCTAGTGCCTCCGTGTCCACCTGTTAGTGGGTCTTCCTTCTAGATGCAAATGAGACAAAGGAGAAAGGGGAGCTGCTAACTCTTGCCAAACGTCCTGCTGAATACAAGTCCCCGAAGCTGCCTTAATTCTCAGGTGGTGGCCCCGCCCACGGGGTCAGCGGCCTCTGGGGCCTCTGGGCGTAGGACCCGTCTTGCGGCCCTGTGATGGGAGACCGGGGCATTCTTACCAAAGAAGTCATTTCTTAGCAGAGAAGGCCGCTGAGCTCATTTCATGTGTTTATTTCCTTTGAAAGCCGTGGGATGGGGAAGAACAGAGAGAGGTGTGGTGCTGTAGACCCAGCACAGCGTTCAGAGCTGCTCGGGTCTGGATCCGCAGCTGCCCAGCTGGGCTCCTGGGGAGGGGAGAGCCTTGTCTCTCGGCGCTTCAGGGCTCTTTGTCTGCACAAGCAAGGGTTGGATCAGATAATCAAAGGTCCCAACCGGTTAAAAAAATTCTTGTCTCCATGACAATGTTCTTGTGCTAAATTTACAGTGAGGGAAGCACATCGTTTATTGTAGGACTTTCCAGAATGATCTGATGACCAACAATTTGTTGAGTAGAGAAATGCCAGATTTCTGACCTCCAAAATTTGGATTTTTCTGGACATTTCAGTAGTTCTTCCTTCTCCAATATGTTTTCAACTGATGCCAGAAACACTTGGTATTAAAAAAAAAAATCCAACCCTTTTGTTTTGAGGATTTTGAGGGTGACATGTCATGCCCTTGTGAGTCCCAGGATCCATAGCTGTGTGGGTGTCAGCATAGTTACCGCTGCAATGTCAGAAGCCACCAAGACACTGGTGAATGTGAAGTTGCTTTTAGGGTACCCGCCCTCATCCCTCTCTTTCTCCACTTCTGTGTAAATAAGGATTGTTCCAGGGGTGCCCTCTCTGTGTCACAGACTGTTCCAATGTCATGCAGGTTTCCATGTCTGGTGTGGATTTATTTTAAAAGCTGTTCTCTTCGTGGAAAAATAAGTGTACAGAATAATAAAAGATATTTCTTGTGCCATGTATCTGGTAATGGGTTCATTCTGTCATGGAGGTAAAATGCTATGAATTATGTAAGGCCAAGGGGTGTGTCTGTGATCGGCCTCCAGCTAGTAAAGAAGAGCTTCTGGTCATAGTGGTCCACCTCTCACCCAAATAACTCTTTGTATAACCCATGGAACAGGAGGCTGGAGGGGTTAAACCTATAATCCCAGCTCCCAGAGTCACATATATTTTTATTTTTATTTAACTATTTTTTGAAATGCAAGCTACTAAAATAGCTACATTGGTTTTATTTCCGAAGATGTGTTTTTATTTAAATAGAAAATGGATACCAAGTAACACCAAGTTAGGTATCCAGCTTTGCTTTTGCATTTCTAGGACTGAATTTCAAGGGGATCAGAACCTTCAATTGAATTACATTCAGTGCACAATCTTTTATATCAAGTGTGCATTTTTCTAGGGAGAGAAGGATACATTAATGCATAGGTCCTTGTTGCTAAGTACTATTGTTACTTTTAATAATTATTGTTATTAGTTTCAATTTTTGATTATTATTATTGACAAAAAAACAATCCAATCTAGGTCTCCAAATATGTAAAGGCTGTCAGGGAATGGGTGGTGAACCCCTGGGCTGAATTGAAACCCTTAATAGGAAGTCCAAGAAGAGAGCTTAGAAGATTAGACCAGAACAGAGAATGGGCTGGAAGTGGTAGGCTTCCCATCGCTGGAGATATGCAAGCAGATGGCAGACAGTGTGTCTTGGGTAGGTTAAGGAGAGGACTCGGTGTCCCACAGGGGTGGGGGAGAAGTTGCACAACCTCTAACGTCCCTTCCATGGAGCTGCTTTTTGGAGCGTCACGAGCCCAGCCTCGTGCAGCAGCACTGGGACAGGCAAACACACGCCCGCCGAGGAGCTAGGGTGGGGAGTGATTTGGCCTGTCCGGTTGCAGTTGGGCAGACATCCCAGGGAGGGTATTAGGATTCTGATCATTTTGTTTTAACTCCAGAATCGGGGTTAGCATTTATTATAATGAATCAAACAAAAAGCAGCCACGTTTCTAGCCTTCCCTTTGTGCGTGCTGACATTTAGTGAGTAAGTGGCCCTGCGGGGGTAGTGGAGGGAGGTTGGGCCAGAAGCAAAAAGGGCAGCTCTGCTGGGGACGATGGGGCACCTGGCAACCCTGGCTGCCACCCTGTGCCCTAGGCTGACAAGCGTGGCAGGAGAAGACTCACAGGTGAGCTTCGCTTTTGACAACCAGTAGGCTTTTCAGTTTTTCCCCAATTTAATCACACCCCTGTCCTACTTCCAGAGAGACAGTTTCATTTCTGTCCCCTTCCAAAGGCACTGATGTGTGTGAGGCACTCCCTTTGGGCCTCAATTTGTTCATCTGTACAATGGGTTGGGAGTTATTAAAACTATTTATGAATGGACTTCAAAAAATTTCAGAACCTTTTGGAATTAAATGCAAATTTTGTCTGATGGGTTTGTGTCTACTCCTCCGGGAGAGAGAATGCATACGTTCATCAGATTCTCAGATGTTTTCGACTCACGAAGATATTTATCTATTACTGTTGGGGGCCTCTCTCTCCCCTGGTGAGATGCGGTGTCTGTCTCTGTCTCCAACCCCAGCCAAACCAGGATGACAACACAGCTTATTTCTAAAGTCAGTCACCTCATTCATGTTGAGTTTTCATTTATTCATCCCACATCCAACATGTCCTTTGTCTTCCCAATAGTGACCCCGTGAGTTAGGTGCTGACAAGCACAATGTGCCCACTGAGCAGATGGGGAAATTAAGGGCTTGGGGCTGACAGGTGACCCACTCAAGGACACACAGCCACTGAAGGACAAGTGCTTGCTCTCCGCATTGTGGGATGTCCTCTGGAAATGAGGTGGGGAGATAAGTCCCGGCAGGTTCCCTGAGCTGTGGGAAAGGACAGTGGGGCCATGACGACTTGGATTTCAAGGGAGGACGTGTTGCAAGAGGAGACTGGGCAGTTGATTTTGTCACATAGCCTCCAGCGGAATAGTTAAGGTGGTGTGGATGGGTCACTGTTGTTAGGAGTCAGGCTATGGAAAAGTTCCAGAGCCCCCTTGGGATCAGCTACTCTGATGTTATGACTGAGTCACATTAGCAAAGTCAACATGAAACGCTGGTTTCCCCATCAATAGAATGAAAAAGTTGGATTAGGGATATTCTAATTAGGTGAGAATATCGATTTTGATGCTATAGTCTCCAGGAGCTGTCACAGTGCTGATGGACTAATTCACACTAAGATGTGAATGACTACTTTTCTAGGCAGACACTAATAGACAGAGGTGTTTGTTGCTGCCTTTCATTCATCTTACAGATTTCATGCAGCGGTCAGCAAACATTTTCTGTAAAGGCCTCTGACAACTATTCACCTCTGCTATTCTAGCATGAAAGTAGCTTTATTTATGAAACAGGCCAGTGGCTAGATTTGGCCTGTGGTTTGTGGTTTGCTCCGATCTGGTGGGGCTTGGGGTCAGACTAGCCCTGGGTTTGAATCCCATCTCTTACCACCTCCTGCCATGGAATCCTGGACACAGTTAAATACGTAAGGCTTCCTTGTCTCTGAAGGCAGAATAAGCCTGCGTGAGAGTCATCAAGAGGGTCAGATGAGACATTGTGCCCTTACAAGCAACCTCCCTGAAGCCGCGGTGGCTGCCTCCAAACCCTGGTTGCATCACTTTGTAGTGTGAAAACTTGAGCAAGTTTCTCTAGCTTCCTTCTGCTTCAGTTTATCATTTCTGCATGAGGGTGACAGTAGTGGCACCCGATGGGGCCGTGGGGAGGGCTGAATGTTAATACTGTGTCCAGAATGGTGCCTCTCTGCAGTTCGTTGTTTTGTGTCTGGTGCACGTCAGCCCCGTGATGAAAGTCCACCTCCTCCCTGTCCCCATCTCTGCCCATTTCAAAGGCAGAGCAGCCATTGCTGTGTTTTTCTGCAGCCAAAACAGTGTCTCTGTTCCTCTGTCCCCTCCTTCAGATGGTGCCACTGAGGTTAGAATTGGGGTCTGGGGCACCAAGTGCCCCTGGACCCCAGTGCCTGTGACCACCCGGGCAGGAAGTTCAAGCTTCAGGAAATACCAGGGCCCACAGGCCTTGCCAGGCAGCAGCCAGCCTTCTGTAGGACCTGCCTGCCCCACAAGCCTCTGCTGTCAGCCCCCATTAGGCCGCTGGCATGAGAGGGGCTCCCCCAGTTGGGCATCAACTCAGCCAGGCCTCGACCTCAGCTCCAACCCAGAAGAGGAACAGAGAAGTGTGGTGACCAGAGACTCCTGGAAGAGCTGGTGGCTAAGTGGCCTCTGTCCTGCTTATCAGCTCCTGGCTCTGCTGGCCTCAGGCCTGGGAGGGGCTGAGCTGGGCCAGACCAGCGGGGCACGAAGGTAAGGGTTTGGGCTGCAGGAAATCAAGGAAGACCGTCTCCGTCCCCAGAGAAGACCCGAGCAAAGTCCATTGCCTGGACGTACCCAGGAGCCACAAAGGGATTGTTTCTGCAACAGAGAATGTCTTCATATGGGGGACCGCCCCCATCTCCTCCCCTTCCCCCCGTAGCTTCAGGCTCCAGTCCAGAGGGCTAACAGGAATGGAAGACTCAGAGTCAGAAGAGCAGGGGCCTGAAGCAAGCCCAGCCCCTGGCCACAGTAAGTCTGGTGCAGACTTGAAGGCCATGGTCAGCCCAACATCTACCTGCTGACCACCTGAGCATATTCCCAGGTCCCTGCTAAATTTCCATT